CGCTAGCAGTAGTGACACAAAGAGTGCCAGTGGAATAGGATTTACTGGCCACCAGCACTTTAACCACCATTTAGTTTCGTCCTGGCAGGTTTAGACAAAACAGTGGTTAACATGCTTGCAGCAAGGCCAGGCTGACTGTGTCAGCATAAATACCATGCACTGGTTGTGGCCATGGTGGGAAATAGGAAGAAACATCTAGAGTTGACCTAGTCCTTCTGAGTGAGCCTCCAACTAGCAGCACACAAAAGTCACGGTCTTAACACACCTCAGAGCCCTTTTCTAAGTATGTAAGCGTGGCACAGACCATGCTCATAGTTATGGTGTCCTACTGCAAGGCAGAATGACAACATTTTGGAGTCATGTAGGTCCCTGGGTTACTTAACCCCTGGCCTTCCTTTGACTTCCAATATAAAAGAGGCCTAACAATAAGGCTAGCAGATGGTCCTCTTTCCTCCACACCCCCACCTGCACAACAGAGTTTGGGGACCTGTTCCCTCTTCTCTTTTCTGAAGACTTTGACAGGCCAGTTCTCCATACTACCTGCTAGTTTCTGCTGCTCTTCACTGATCTGTGCTCTCTGTGCTACTGGGAACTATACCGTACTTACTGTACTGTCGAAGTTTAGTACTTGCTTAATGAAGCACTAACTAAATTAAGTACTTAATTAAGTAGCACCGGCGCATGGTTTTTTGGTGATGCTTACTGCACAGTAGCCTAATAACACTACACAGTAGTGTATTAGCACTGTTATTGATTGGCACACTACCTCACAGTGTTATTAGGCTACTGTGCAGTAAGCGTCTCGTGTAGATGTGCCCACTGGGTAGTTAGGATCTTTTTTAAGTACCTCAGGCCCAAATCATTCCTGGACATCACATGGCACCAGGGGTAAAATAAATCTAAAGAAAATAACCTGAGTGGCAGAATAGAGCAGTTAACAGCTTCACCAGAGTTGGAACCGTGGAAATGTGAAAGATCAGTGGGAAAATTGTAAACAGCACTTCATTTTCTCTGCAAGCCAAGGGAGCCGGTAACATGGAGCATAGCAGTAAGCAGTCCCATTTCTGACAATAGCTGGTTCTGATGCACTTGATGTGTTTAACAGGTTTTGGTTAATTTGAGCATAAGAGGTGGCTATTGTCACAACCCAAGGGTGTGATTTTTGTTTGTGTGTGTTTTGGCACCGCTGAATTATTTTCCCGCCGTTTGAAGCTTTCTTTGCAGGGTGCATTTCTTCTTTGCAGCATAGAAATGCACATTGCAAGGAGTTCCCGCCATTTGTATTTAAATTCGACCTCCCACTATTGGTTGTTTCTAAATTATTCCTACGTGGCAGCTAGCGATTGGCTTGCTAGCTGTATAAGAGGCTTGAGTGGTTTCCGCCCAAGTTGGAGGACTCCACGAACATCAGGAGGAGGAGACGTCACGTCTCGTGAAGATCTCTAAGCGCTGCGGAGCCTATTGGACCCAGCGTGAATATCAAGAAGGCAACAGGGGTCTGATCAGCCTCTCGTCTCTCCCCGTCGCCGAGCGCAATCCTTGACGTATCCCTTTCCCTGCGCGCAAAAAGTTCCACGGAGCCTCGACAACTTCGTGTGAGTCAGAGTTTTGTCCGAGTCCTTAACATAGGGATTTAAGCGGAGCTTTACCTGGGAAACTGTCCAGCCTACACCACGACCATCTACGGTGTAAGTAAACAATCTTGAATCAACCACTAAGCGTCCGTGCCTAATTCTAGCATGTCGCCTGCTTTCTCTGACCCAGCGTGTCCGGGCTGCTGGCCACAGCCCGCGGTGCAAAAAAAGGGCCCCGGATCGCTCCCGGCCCTCACAGCTATGAGACTCTATTACAGAAATTTGAGGAGCCCTGCACTGCACGTAAAATGAAATGTGAGAGAGATGTTCTTAACCTGAGATCATAAAGGGAAAGTCAAACTGTGGAAGAGTTCATGGCTGATCTAATACTGAAGAACCACCCTTCCCATTTTGGAGGCTAACCAAGTCACTGATAAGGACACTTAAATCCCAGAGAGAGACTATGAAGCAACCCAAAATTACACCTTGACAAAGCAAAAAGCAGTTCCCACATCATTCATTTGGGGGGGGGGGGGGGTGTGCAGCAAGGAATAGGAGATGCTCTGTTTACCAGGGCACCCCGTGGAGTAACTAGAAACAACAGACACAAACTGACAGACAGCAGATTCAGGTATCAGGAAGAACTTTTTCACGGTTAGGGTTGCCAAAATCTGGAATGGGCTTCCAAGGGAGGTGGTGCTCTCTCAAAGACTTTGGGGGTCTTCAAGAGGAAACTAGACATACACCTGGCTGGGGTTGTCTGACCCCAGTGCTCTTGACTGCCCAGGGCAGAGGGTTGGACTCAATGATCTGCTAAGGTCCCTTCCGACCCAAACATCTATGAATCTATGAATGGATGCCATGCTGTCTAACATGAAGCTTCTTATGCAGGCAGCAAGTGCTCTAACACAAGAGATGATTTGAGATCCAGAATACCATAAGAAAAGCAGCCTGAGGAAGACTAGGTGATACCCTCTCCAGCTTTCAGGATGAGGGGAAGATAAAGGGCACAAAACTGACCATTTCCCCTGAGAAGGTCTCAGTTGGGCAAGCACATAGCCCTCATGATCTAATGTTGCCTGGTCAAATGGATTTACTGCCTCCTGACAACAGTAGTTCTACTGTGTCTTGGGTGATTCACAAGCCTACAAATTCCCTCAGTGGTTAATCATACTTTATTAGTGGATTAAGTTAGTAGGTAGGCTAAACGGTTTTTAAATGTGTGCTATATCGGTATTTGTTAAGTATTAAGTTTGGCTAGAAAAGCAAGATGTGGTTTTGGGAACTGCAGCGTAGAGTGGTTTAGTTTTGGAAGCCTGCATTCTGTCATGCAGAGGCAGTTAGAATGGGTCTTTGAGTAAAGAGAATCTCTTTCAAGTACCTTGGGCCCAATGTGATTGAATGCCACAATCCTAATATATCAGTAAGTATTAATTACATCACTTTACTGTAGTACCTATCCAGCCTATATTGCCCTTTCATTTCTTTGATAGGAAAGGTTCATAATACTTGAATGGAGCTCGATTGGAGAATTTTGGGAGTGAAATCCTTTTAATCTATTCAAGATAAAGTGAGATTTATGGAGAGCAGTGTGGTATAGTGGTTAAAGCATGGGTCAGGAGACTTGGATTCCATCTTGGTTCTGCCACGGAGATTATAGGCGTACCATGAGTAAATTGCTTCTCTTCTCTGTGCCCCTGTTTTTCACTCCTAACCCCCTTTGCCATGTCTGCTTAAATTGTGGTTTCTTCTGCCCCTGGTGTATCTGTGTGTACCGCAGCCCAGCACAATAGAGCCTCATCTTGTTTGAGTCCCCCATTTGTTACCAACATGCTGAAGATCATCAAAGGTGTGTATAGACAGCACTGCAAGCATCATTTGGTGGGAGATACCTTTATTCCCTCCTTGCCAACAGAAGTGCTAACTCGTTCCAATTATAATGGCACTTTTTGGTGAGATGAACATCTGTCACTGGGAAACAGGAGAGAAATCATCAGACTCATTTCACATATGCCATCAAGAAGCCATTTGAAGGGAACAGCTTTCAGCTACAAATATCAGCTAGGCTAAAATTGAACCCACTGCCTACAGGTGAAAGGCTCTATAAAGCTTTACTAATCCCCAGAGCCATTCTATCCCACTTATAGGGTATACTACATTTAGCTTAAATCACATAGTCTTAGCCTCTTCTGGTTTGACAGCATTTAAATGTAGTAAACCTTTTCTCTTTCTCTTTTTCCTCTAATTATCTGCAGCATTTGTTCCTCCTTTGGGATTTTCCACTTTTCTTTGTTGCTTTATACAGTCCATTCCCCCAGTTCCTTGTTCATTCCCTGTATTCCATCCCACCTTTTCTCTTCCTCCCTGGTTTGATATAGCATCTCACTGGTCCTGCTTCACACTAAGAGAAGGGGTATTAGATGGAGTCCCCATAGATATAAATTGAACAGAGAGAAGTGGCTGGGTTCCCAGCAATACGTATAAATTGAACAGAGAGAAGTGGCTGGGTTTCCCAGCAATAATTTATCTGATTAAAAAATGTTCCCCACCCCCACTTCCCTCCTAGCCCTAAACCCCCTCCAAAAAAAAAAGAAAAAGGAGAACCTTGGCATCCAGGCTACTATTTGAACTATATTATTCAAATTGCTTGAAGGGGGATTTAGATGGAAAAATAACTGTCAAAAGATGGCTCTCCGGGGAAACAGCATTAGCTCTGGAATTTGGAATAGGAGTTGTTGTGTGAAGAAGTGCAGAAAACGTAAATAGTTCTGAGTCAAGTACCTCTGTGATCTCCAACTCTGCTGTTGCTCTCCTTTTAAAAATTTATATAAAAAAATACACCAGTAGGCAGTGAAACAACAGTAAAGAAAGTATTCCCTGATCAATAGTCAGCTTCTCTCTCTTTTTTTCTCCATGCTTAGTGCAGGGTTCAGTCCAACTAAGATCAACACTCCAGTTCATAAAGTACTTGTCTCCCTGTGTGTCACCTGGACAGGTTTTGTTCCCTCCTCCTCAGTACCCTGGGGGGTCCCTGTTTCTTTGCCTTTCAAAATCTTGGTTACTGGTACTTTATTCAGAGGTAGGTGTTTTGGGGATAGAAAAATCCTTCCTGCTCTTTCTTCCCCACCAGTACATAATAGCAATGTGGTATAGGTGACTGGTGCTCCGTGTTTTGGACCCTTGGCTTTGGCTGCTTTCTTTTTCTTTTGCAAGAGAGAGAGGCCTCTATTTTACATTTCATACTACTTTCACAGTATGCAATAATTTATAACGGAAGTTACCTTATTAATGTCAAGGGCAGAATTGCTACTGACATTCAAGCTGCAAGAGCGCATGAAAATCATTTAGTTTGCTGTTGCATGATCCACACAGTGAGGGCTGTTAGTTAATGTATGTACTTCTTTGTATTTCCAGACTGAACCAACTCTGCATGATGGTTTCTGGGCCAGTGGGTGAAATGCTGCCACACCAGCTCTAATCCTGAGTTTTGAACCTCAGGGTAATCTCAACCAACTCACCAGTGCTCAGGTTTCTTTGTTTTCTGACTGGAGGGCTGTTCAGCTGAAACCTCCCTCCTCTCCTTCTTGGGGATTTACGTTGCCACAAGTCTTCATTTTTTCCAGATGTTTTACCTAATAAATCAGGAGGTCTCATCAGAGGATTTGAATCCAAAAGCTGTTACCATGACTTCAAAGGCACAGGCATGGAAAGAAGGGGAGCAGATATTGTCTACAAATCCATAGTCATAATGATAATAAAAGTGGTTGTTCTAGACTCAAGCTCCAGCATGTGTTCTGTGAATATCATGCCTCCGTAGTGATTAAATAATATGGATAGCTTACACTGGTGCTGTGTGAACCTTTCACCAGCCTTTGTTTAAAACATGTTCTACTAAAGTGATATATGGTGCAGAGAAACCATATGCAGTTAAGCAAAAATCGGGGGCAGGAGTGCTGATTGTGAGAGATGAGGAGCTCTTTATACTGCTGAACTGAAGTCAATAGGAACTTACTCAGCATCAAGCCCCATTTTTTCTCCTCTGCTCACTTTCCATCTTGGTGCCAATGGAAGCTTTTTTCACTCAGAAGAATGAATGGCCTAGCTCATAGCTATATAATGCTTTAATGATAAAAACATTATATGGTCGCAAAATAGGATTGCTCTTATTATTGCTGGTTTATTCCTAAATCAAGAACTTATTTAGAAGGGAGTCACTAAAATTTCAGGCAATTATCAGCTGCCTAAAATATATACCACACCATTTTCTCTTGCTGTTGTATTTGTAGTCTTCAACTGGGTGCTTGGTGCTATGAGAACTGGGGCAAGTTGTTACCAGTGTGTTTTTAATTGCATGTAGCCCAATATATTTGCTTTTGGGTACCTGTAAGTAGTATGTAGTGAGGAATGTTTCTGTACTGCTGATTTATATAATATGGTCCTTAAAAGTAACCTCTAGGAAGGAGGGATAGTCCAGCAATGAAGGAAGTGTGAAACTCTGGAGACCTGGCTTGGATTCTCTGATTGCCTGTAGATCTCTGGAACCACGTCAGATAAGTCATGTAGACCTTCTCCACGCTGCTTCTATGCCAGGCCTGGGAGTGCTGCTGTGCAGCATGCCTCTCTCACTCTTTCACACTCTGCATACTCAAAATCCCCCCAAATAAGACTGCCTGATAGCCTCAGAGCAACCCTGAACATATGTCCAAAGCTGCTTTCAAAATTTCTGTCTCAGGCATGTTTACTGGCACATCTCAGGGTGGCTCTAAGGTAAGGTACCACATTGCTATTACTGGCACATCTCATTTCAGCAAGTAGGCAGAGCAAGTAGGCAGGGTGGGTTTCACGGTAGAGCTCCTGGGCACAGCAGAGGAGCAGTCTAGACAAGCCTGTTGTCTGTCTGTGTGAGTAAAACGGGGTAATAGCACATCTCTACCTTATAAACTTCACCTCTAATTCAGAGCACCAAAGTGTTACAAAAATATCACGGGTTACACATTAAACCATGTATGTGTCTACAACAGAGACTTTGGAAAATTAATTTGCCCTAAATTTAGGGCCATTTTCCTTGTGCTCCAATTAGCAATGGGGCAAAGGGATGATAAGCAAGAAATTATTCTAACTGGCTCTTTTTTCGCTTGATTGTTTCAGTTCATTAACGTTGCTGCTGGCCAGCTCCTCTTGTGTCACCACGGTTCCTCAGCAAGCACCATGCTGGGAAGTCCCAGAGGCAGGGAAGACCTGCTGCATTATTGAAATGTCCATGCCAACAGAGGAAGATTCATTATTAAGTAGATTCTGCATTATTACACGGTGCTCCTGACAAGGTTTGTTCCTCCTTCTCCCACGCACGCGCACGCGTGTGTGTGTGAGAGAGATAATGATAAAGTCTTCATAAGTACTGTTATAAAACTAGTGTATGCCCCCCTCAGAACAATTGTGCTTCTCATTTACGTGTCACCCCCCCAGCACCCTAACGCTACCCCATAGGACAGTTCCACAATCCATCATGACTGCCTGGGATCTGTGACAACCCAGAGTGATACGTGCTGGGTCATCAGAACAGAGTAGGAGCAGCACAGCGTGACTTCAGGAGCCTAAAAATAGGTACAATAATTTTTGAGCTGAAGGCTTTCTCCCCACCCCCTTCCTCCCCCAGCCCTTGCCATTTGGTATACTCAGCACATAATTGTCAAGATAACTTAAAAAAAAACACAAAACGCATCTCCCTATAGAAATGAGCATGTTTATTAGTAGACATTGTCGCTTTGGTGGCAGGATGAGTTATGGTATTGCACACTGAAATAACTCCACGTGACTTCCAGTGACACAATGGCTTACAGGTTTTCTGTGAGCAGTGGGCGTGGAAAGGAGCGCTAGTCATCTGCCTCGCTATGGGGTGAAGAATCAGATACGGCCAGAGACATGCTATAAAATGAGGAGCCAAATTCCTTTTTGCTGGATGGCTGCTCAAGTACTTGGAGTCACTGTGAATTGACTGATTGAGCTGTGAATGTAGCGCGTTATATTTTTCCTCTGGATTGTTTCTTCCCTTTATTCTGTTACTCTGTAAATCTCATTCGTATTTACCACACCTTTTTTTTTTTTTAAAGTTTACTCATTGGACTATGCGCTAGACCCAGTCTCTGCCAAGCCTAAATAAACTGCATTTATAAAGGAACCCTGATTATTCTGGACAGGAGGGGTTTGATTCACAGAAGTGGTATTCTTTGAAAAGGTCTGTTCCTTTGGTAGTGACTTGTTTGAAATAGATTCTACTTTACTATGCCTGTTAAGCTGTTCTCAAGGCCACACAAAGGAGGAAGGATTGTATAAGGCTGTATAAATCAAAGTTTGTTATAGGAATGTCAAACACTGCAGCACACTGGTGTGTTAATAGCAAGCAGACAAGAAGTGCGGTAGTAGTCAGAGACAGTTAGCAGAAGCAATGAAGCTAGAGAGTCCAATTCTCAGCTGTCTACAACAGCTGGGTCCAGCAGACCCAGATGTAATTCTGTTGCTGCTGTGGGGAGACTGACCAACCCCCACAGCACATTGTTAAAGGCCTCCAGTGGTCAGATGGGAAGGGCCTGGGGCTGTCTTTCTGGTCTAAATCGCTACCATTAGATAGGCTCTAGAAATGATGCGATGGGGCAGATGTTCATCTCACCAAAAAGTTCCATTATAACTGGAATTAGTTAGCACCTGTTCTGCTCTCACTAAGACAGAAATCACTCTATGGAAGTCACTGTAGATGTAGTGGGGTGAACTAGTGAGAGGGTAATTGGGACCCTGAGCAGAAGATGGTAAGGTGACCCTGTCTGAGGTTCTCTCTGGTTAGTTCATTTTGCCGCTAAGGTCAAATGTAGTATGATCCAACAGCCTGGGACCCCAGCAATGAGAGTGTCCTGTGTGCCTGCTGCGTCTCCTGCTGCTACGCCAAGCAGATGCGCTGCCTCATGGTGTCCAACACGATCTGCTGGTCCTGCAACATCTACGTAGAGCACATCACGGGCTATCACCAATACACCAACCCCGCCAGACCGACCACCACCGGACTAGACCCAGAGGAGGCCACCTGAACCCCGCTCTGAACCTAATGGACTCCAAGAGGAACCTTCAACAATGGACCACCCCGCTGTACCCAAAGAGGACCCCCGCGATGAGACTCTAAATGGACTGAGACACTTTCTCCAACCCACTTCCTCCACCATTGTGGATCATTGTACGGGTTTGTGTGCATCTATCTTCTTTCTCTCTCAGCGTCACAAACCCCCTGCCTCCCCCTCCCCCACCCCCTCCTTCGCCCCCGGGCTTAGTTGGCTAATATTGTATGTTCTGTAACCTAGTTGCATTCCCCTCCTCACCCCCATCCCTCTAATGTTACTTCCTCGCTCGGGTGATCTGTATTTCCCTACTGGCTTTGTCATCTTTTTGGTTCATGACTCTTAACATCCACTAATAAAATTCACTCTGTTCTTATCTCCTCTTGAAGGCTCAGGACAAGCATAGTTGCTTCGTAACCTGGCAGGGGAAATACCATGTATCTGTGTCCAAGAAGGCAGTTTTCCTGAAGTGCTACCCGAGAGAACTGTTCTTCTGGCGTGGTTCAGTACCTGCCAAGGTGCAGTGGCTTTAAGCCCAGTTTATGGAAATGGGAGTCTCCTCCCTTGCTTGTTCCAAAGGCCTTATGGCTAAGGGGAAGCAAAACTTGGGGGCATCCAAACCCCAAACCTCTGGGCTTGGGCCTGCAAGTAGGATGCCCGCCAAAGGTTTTGGAAACATCTGAAGCCCCAGGTGGGATGGAGGATGTTTGTTTGCCACTTAGGGTTCTGGACACTTGGATTTGGCATTAGTTTTGGCTAATTTGGCTGTGGATACAAATTAAATTGAAAAAAAAATTGTTGCAGAAGAAGAAAACACCCCGTCTTAATACCTGCAAATCAGAAAGCTTCCCTCCTTCAGCCACAGTTTTTTGGCAGTGGCAGGAGGAGGAGGACAGCACAGAAAAGGAAACTGAGTGAAAAGTATGGGAAACCTTTTAGTCAGCATTTTAGATGTAAGCTCACAAACAACATTTCCTATGCACTTAATAGCAAGTATGCTGTGCACCAGAACCTTTTTATAGTTGCATTCTCCCTAGGCACCTCTGTTTGCTGTGGATCCAGCACTGCAGCTGTAACTCAGGCCCTTACTCCTAGTGAAGTCAATTGATGTTTTGCTTGGAAAGGGTTGGCAGGACCCGGCAATGTCACTGAGTCACAATATATGAGGCAACACTGGATTCTACCAAACACTTTTCTAGGCATTATGTGGAGATCCAGGGCCATAGCTTGATCCTGTTAGTGGAATTCCATGATGTCCAAGTTCATAATGCATTAAATCTTAAGGCTTTTATGCTCTTCTTATTCTGGCAGGCTCCCATTGAATTCTATGGGAATTGTAGCAATAATAGCTGAGTAAGGACCATGGAAGGCTAGAAGTCCAGGCAATGCATGTATTCCCAGTTGATCTACAATGTAGGGGTCCTATTGGGCTTCTTTGGGAACCCCAAAGATTCAATTCCCTTTACCCCGCTCTGATCTTTAATGCTCAGGTTTCGTGCCTGACCTTCTGCCAATGGAATGCTGGGTAGGGGCTGTGGGACCCCTTAGCTTTTTGGGGTGCAAATGTAAAACATTTTTCCACTCCCATCCCAACTCCTATCTGCTGCAAACCCATTACTCTGTATTGGGCCAGCATGAAAACTTTCACATAGCCAAATGTTACTTACTCATTCTCAGGCTCACAGATTCACAGAAGTTTAGGGCTGGAAGGGTCCTTCTGAGATCATCAGGTCCAGCCCCCCTGCTCTGGGCAGGAAAGACAGAAATTTAGGAGAAGAAAATAATCATTTTCAGGCTCCTAAGGATCACTATAAGACAGTCAAGTTCAGCGACCTTCAAAGTGATTGCTGCAGAGCAGTGGAAGGTACTTCATCCCACCTTAAGACTGAGCACGTTGTCTCTGCTGTTTTGCAAGGCCCTGATGCTATGGGAATGTGGAGGGGGAGGTGGGAGCTCAAAGTCTTTGCAAAGTACTGCATTTAAAAATCAAAATTAAGCTATCTGTGCTTAGCATTAGTCACAAGGCTTTCCTCTTACGAGAAGGATTCTGGAGGGGGGGTGCTTTTAGGATTTAGCATGGCTTGTGGATCAGGATCCTGGATGAGCCCCATAGTGACAATTCACATTCTTATGCCACTGTCTGTTATGGATGCTCAGAGGCACCTTAGCTTTTTGGGGTGCAAATGTAAAACATTTCTCCACTCCCACCCCAACTCCTATCTGATCCGATCCCATGACTCTGTATTGGGCCAGCATGAAAACTTTCACACACTCAGATGTTACTCATTCCCAGGCTCCTAGAATTTAGGAGAAGAAAATAAGCACTTTCAGGCTCCTAAGGATCACTATATGCCAGTCAAGTTTTGTCAGTCACTCAAGGAAAGGAGTTTAGCAATCTCAATCCAGTCCCTGCAGTATGTGTCCATTTCACAGCAGAAACCCTTGAAAAATTCTGAATTTGGCAAGATTGACAAGAGAGTAAGGAAAGGGCCAGGCCAGACCGAAAGGATGCATTGAAGGTCAGAGCAATGGTGCCCTAACAAAGCTTAGTAAAAGCCAATAACTGAAATAGCAAGTAGGTGCAACAGTTCAAGAGTGCGATTCTGTGGCAGAGCTGGGTAAGCTCCAGGACTAGAACAATGGAGGTGCTGCAGGGCAGAACTGAGGTGCCTATTGTGCCATTAAAAGGTATGGCACAAGAATAGCATGTTGGATATAAAATAAGGTGCGCATCCAGAGCTCTGATACTAGGGGAATCATGAACAAATGGGTAGAGCGATCTATATAGGGACCATAACTGAACTGATAAGGGGGAACGGCAGAATGGGAAGGACTGAAAGAAAGCCACATAATGCCAGGCACTTGTCAGTGGTTTTTTTGCTTCTCTCTTCAAAAACTAAATCAAATAACTGGAGAAAACGTATTGGCCAGACTCCTAATTTTAGATCTGAGGTAGAAGGGATAGCTGTTTCAGAAAGACAGGCTAGCTTTGTGCCTTGCTCACAGTCAGGAAACACCAACCATGAAAGCATAGGGGATTAGGCACATGGTGGGGCCCAGGTGCCCTCTGGCATTGATGCCTAAAACTTTAATTTTGCTTCTGTGAACATTGCCCATTACACCCATTGTGCATGTCAGCAGTGCCTCTAACTTTCCTTACTACCTTTTTACAGGAATAAAATTTGCTCTTATATGGTGCTTTTCATGCTTGAGGCAGTTCAAAGTGCTTTGCTAAGCACTTTAATGAGTTAGATCATGGTAGTGCAGTGACTGTGCACTCAAATTCAGTGGCAGTCATGTGCTCAGGAATAATTTGGGAAGTCTCCACTACTCAAAAGTGTTTTACTTATTGAAGGAAGGAATGCCAGGCAGGACTCTTGTTTATTCTCTGGAGGTCTTTGATGACCTTCAGCTTCTATGCAGACAATGACATATGAGAAGACAGAGAAGAGACCTTGCTGGTGGCATGGCACTGTGGAGCACTGGACCTCTCAACGCTGCACTGTAGTATGGACTGAAAGGTAGGTAAGTCCGAGACCCGTTGC